TGCAAGCAACAAAAACCAGTTTCTCTTGCTCATTTGGCAGATAATTGCGAAGTTAAATTATTGCAATTCACAAATATCATACCTGATATCTGTGACAAACGTATAATTCAGTCAGATAGAGCAATTTTTATTCAACTACAAACCAGTAACACTTGGTTATTTGCAGTTCCTCATCCAGAAACTCTTACGATATCATGTAATAATAAAAAAAATCACGTAGATGTAATACTAAAAAATTGCGGTAGTGTCACTATAGGTAAACAATGTAAAGCTTATAGCGCATCATCAATGCTAATCCCTCATGGAAATACAGTCCAGTCCAATATTTCAAGTGATTTTATTCCACCATTCGACATTAGTGATAATTGTTGCGAAAGGATAAAGGAAGAAAAAATAAACATTAGTGAAATATTTCTCAACGAACATTATAGGAAATTAACAAAGCACATCCCCGAACTTAATGTAGCGAGCCATAAGCTAGAAGATATTGAAAAGTTAGGTGATGAAATTCTAAAAAGGAAACTTGTAAACAATTATACATTTCCAGCATCTGTAATTGCCTATATCTTAGCTCTTCTTGCTATTATTTTTATTATTTATAAATTGTATACAAAATGTACTAACAAGACAGCCTGTTGCGGAATTATTCCAAACTTATGCATTAGAGTTAATCAGTCTGTGGAACCATCTTCTAGAAATAGTGATAGATATGTTGCTCATTATAATCGTAATATTAGCCAAAACTCTGAAAATGTAGGTAACTATGAAAACTCCGAAGAAGAGAATGTTAATTTACAGGCGCCCTCGCGCAGACCCATTGGGTATGTACCATCAAGGCGACCATTAAAAGAAAAATAATTTCCGCATTTGATACATTTTTAAATCTGCAATAGTTATAAAAAAAAATGTTAGTTAAGTTAGAATGTAAGTTAGTTATAATTAGTAGTTAAGACTTGTATAATACTTTTATATATGTACTTTTATTCATTTCCATCTGAGTTATACTAATTAATTATATAAACATTTGTTTTGAGATTTCATATCACTTTCACCTCATGAAATCTCTCATTAAGGGGGGAGGTGTTGTGAACATACATTTAATATGGTTATATGTATATGTATATTCGACAAATTGTATAAAATATTATTTTTACCCTTATTCTACGGCTATGCCTAAAGAATTTAAGGTACGAAAAATACCATCAACATTATTATTCTTCTCAGAAAGATGGGTGATGCAAATAAACAGAACCATTACCTTAAGATGAAATTTGGAAGAAATAGTCATAAATAGTTGCATCATTTTTAGTTTTCCTTTGTAATTCGTTTACTTTCAGACGCGATGTCTGGTTTCTATTTACTTAAGAAATGGTCATGTTTGTCCCTTTGCAAACCTACCTGAAAATATTATTAAGAAATAGTAGGTACGCCCGTGGATTTTCGGAGAGGGCATTCTCATAAAAGCACGGTCACAGAAGGGACCGGGGACATTCATAAAAATTTTTCATAGACGTAATACTGCTAAATTTATATTTTGTATTAAAAGTTTAAAAATAAAAAGTAATAACAACTTAGTAAGAATTTAATTATAAAAAAAATAAAGAATAACATTCCCAACAAGTGGTGATACGAGTCAAATAGAGAACTACAACATTTGGTGGCAGCGACTACAAGATTGGTGACGACGGTGGTCCAATCCAGGATCACGACAATGAGCCACCCTTGTTCTATTTGAAAAAATTGAGATATGATTAAAAAAACAATTTTTAACGGCATCTTTTAACCGGCCATGACAAAACACCAAAAACATTAGACCATCGAAAAATTAGTGTTTTCAAGACAGCCATAGCACTCTAGATTGAAATTTAAAATACGATTTTTTTTAAGCGAAAATGTAAAAAGTTGACACACGACATGTCATTTTTATTCAGAGTGTCAATTTCTACCGAATAAAGTAAAAATATACCGAGGGTGCTATTTAAAAATCAAAAGTTGTAGTCATTTCCAGTAAAACAGGAAGTAACTAAAAACAATTGAATACGTCAATCAGTCCTAATTTATGTCATATTCCAACATACCAAATCTCGTTTTTATAACTGAAAAAATGAAAAAGTTACAGGGGTGAGCCACTTTTGAGACGCACCCTGTATATTGTGTTCTAGAGGACCGATTTTGATGATTTTTTAAGCAATTTGTAGCTAAATTATTTAACTTTTTAGTATCTCTTTCTAAATTAAAAATGAAAGGTGCTATCTATCAATTATACGAGGGAAAATAAAATGTTGATATTTTGGTGAAAATTTGAAACATCCTGTGGAGTGCATTAACAAAGCAAGAAATTTAAAAATAATTTTATCGTCTTGGTGTGTGATTTTCTCGATAGTTTGTTTTTTGATTCATTTCAATACCTTAATTTTTTTGGAGATATTCGCTTTTGAAGAAGACACTTTTTCGTATTTTTTACATTAAAACCACGCCTTTGCTTTTGGTCCTATAAAATAGTATTAATAATTTATGTAATGTTACTGTCTTTGGAAAATTATACCGTATGATCGAGAAAAAACGGCGTCAGCGATGGCTATGAAATGAAGATCGCTGTCATTTTATATGTAAATTTATATGGGAAATGTCATCGATCGTCATTTCCCAGCCAACTGGACGCCATTTTTTTTCGATCATACAGTATTATTATTGTCTGTTGGGCATTTACTGTAGCTGAAATAGTGATAAGTCCGAAATTGATTGTTGATTTCCACCATGATCAATTAAAGCAGCAATTAGTCCATAGTTCAGAACTTAAACTCATCTCCACTAGAGTAAACGTCAGTAAACAATAATAATATAACTTTTCAATGACAGTGACATTACAAAAACAATAAACCCTATTTTATAAGTGTGTTGATGATGAGAACCCAAAATCAATGCTAAAATTACTGTAAATCGTTACTGTCTTATTCAAAAGCGCATATCTCCAATAAAAACAAAGCTATTGAGATGAATCAAAAACAAACTATCGAGAAAAGACGTACTTAGATGATAAAATGATGAATGAAATTTTTAAATCCCGTGCTTTGTCAACATATTCCACAGGGTGTTTCAAACTTTCACCAAAATATCAACAATTTGTTTTCCCTCGTATAATAGACAGAAGGAATCTCTCATTTTTAATTTAGAAAGAGATACGAAAAAGTCAAATAATTTAGCTACAAATTGCTTAAAAAATAATCAAAATCGGCCAACTAGAACAAAATATATTAAACTTTAAAATATTATATCAAAATTGTAAGGTGCCCGTTTTTCGTGCCGGTGAGTATACAGTGTGAGTTTTCTACGATGTTATCTATGGGTATCTCGGAAACTACTGGAGATAGAGAGTCGGTTAAATAGGGTAAGAATTGCAGTTTTGTGGGGTCATAAATATGCGCCTATCCGATTTTTGAAAAATTTCATGGATTACTAGATATTTCGAAAAAAACATTTTGGTTATTTTAAAAATTGTCCCTAATTCCATTATAATCTATTTTAGACAAAAACTTTTCAGATAAAAGTTGTAGATAATCACATCCTTAATGAATTGTGCCGTCCGATTTTTTCTAAAGCCTGTCATTTTTGACATATGACACAAACATATGTTTTTTTTTAAATGAAAACCATAGTTGGCCATGACTTCATAAAAAGCGCCATTTCTTAAGCTGTTCAGCGATATAAGCTATAATATGTTTTTCTCACAAAATTACCGAGTTATAGCCATGTTCTCATTTTTAAACAATTTCACTTAGTTAGCCATAGAAACAAGTTCAACCGTCGTTGCTCTCGGAAATGTGAAACTGTCACATCGAAAGTTTGTATATTAAAATAAACAAAAATTGTAAATATTAATTTTGCAAATGAAAAAAAGCGTGTAGGATTATTGGTTCAACTATTCTTGGCCATACATTTTCGAGGATATGTTGACCGGTGAATGTTACTTACTTTTTTTAGAGAACGGTTTTCAAGACATGTTAGAAAAGTTAAATTTAGATACTCGCGCATTAATAGAGTGGTTCTAAGATGTCCTTCATTATGATCCCCCCCCCCGGTTATGAAAGAAATATTGATTAAAAATGTTAAAAATTATTTATATCATAATTATGCAAACTCAGGGATAGGAAGAGGTGGACCAATTGCATGTGTTTCCTCGATCATCTGACCTATCCATTTTAGATTTTTTTATGCGGTATGGTTAACAAGGTTTACAAAAGAACGTATGAATTAAGAGAGGCACTCGAAGAGGCGGTACGGGAGAAGTTTAATTAAGTCGACCGGTCGTTTTGTGAGAATAGGTAGGTAGTAATTCAGTTTTAAAAAGATGCATTTATGTACTCAAAATAATGGCGGATTTTTTGAACATTTTCGAAAATAACTTAAAGTGTATGCAGTGATATTTTTTTAAGTTTTAGTTTGTGTAATGTAAATTGTAAAGAACCGTTTAGTAATATATTCTGTCTTTTTATAAGTTGTAAATCCTAACAGAATAAGAATACCATACCAACTAAGTGAAATTAGTCAAGAAAGATAAGAATTGGCTATAACTTAGAAATTTAAAAAAAAAAACATATTATAGCTTATATCGCTGAAAAGCTTAAAAAATGGCGCTTCTTATGAAGTCCTGGCCAACTATGGTTTCCATTTGAAAAACATATGTTTGTGCCATATGTCAAAAATGACAGGCTTTAGAAAAAATATGAGAACACAAACTCATTAGGGATGTGATTATCTACAACTTTTATCTGAAAACTTTTTGTCTAAAATAGATTATAATGGAATTAGGGACAATTTTTTAAATAGCCAAAATTTGTTTTTTTCGAAATATCAAGTAAGCCATGAACTTTTGCAAAAATTTGAAAGGCGAAAGATTTATGACCCCACAAAACTGCAATTCTTTTCCCATTTAACCGACTGCGCCTCTCTATCTTCAGTAGTTTCCGAGTTACCCATAGAGAACATCGTAGGAAACTCACCCTGTATTAACCAACAAATAACCATACTCTATATATAGATATGTATAACGTCAACACCGAACTACACCGGCGAATTGTCTCTAACCACCCCGCTAACGATAGACTCGCGGATCCGAAATCGATTTTTATAGAACTGTTATGCCGTGGAACCACGCGCTATACAGCAATCCTAGCGCTGGAAATGGCTGGTTGTACGCGATAGCCGGAGAGCAAAAGACTAGTCGGGAGAGCTTCGCAACTTTGTTAATCGGCGGCTTTACTATTTCTCGTGATGGCAATGGTGCGTGCCTCCGCGCTCCGCCGATCATTGCCTAGGTGGGGAGTTGGGAGATAAAGGTAAAAATAAACGAACACGACTGCAGAAGATTGCATACCATGATTTATATCATACAAAATAGACACCATCATAAATTAATGTACAGGGTGTCCCATTTTAGTGCGTTTTACAGGGATATGAGTAGAGATAGGATGCGGTTTTCACATCACTGCGCTACATGTTTATGAAAATAAAGATGCTAAACACAGATTTGTCCTCACCCTTTTAGTTCCTGAAATTCAGAGCGAATTTGAAAATTATGCGTTGAATTTGAAAAAAAAAGTGGCTCCACATACAGCGAAGCGTATTGCCGATTGACGCGTATTTGCTCGCTGGTTGAAATTTTCGAGCGAACTGGACATTTCGAATTAAGACTATTAAAATCCGCCTGAAAACGCGTGAATGTGGAGCCACTGTACAGGGTGGGTCAAATTGGACGCTTTTAAAGGGAAACACCCTTTTCTATAGGAGATAGACGAAAACTAATATCGGTGTCTGGAGCTCAATTTTCATCAAAAACGTGATGGTGAAAACCACATATCGATATCTGTTACCGTTTCGGAGTTACGGGGTGTTTTTCAAAAATTTGCATTTTTAACAAATCGCTATAACTTTTTTGCTATGGAAAAAATTGTTATTTTATGAAAACATTTTCAAAGCACCTTTTTACGTAGAATTTAATGGTTTAAGTATATTTTTTTAAAAATGAATAATTTAAGAGTTATCAACAGAAAATTTGATTTTTTATATGGGACACCCTGTATATTTTTAATTAACTGAAAAGAACTTACAATTACCTTTCCAAAAATATAACACACTTGATATTTTGTTATAATTCCCTTCGAAATACAGAATTTTTAAAAGTTCCCTACTTTTAACTAGTAGGCTTTGGATCCCTTATTGATGAAATACCCCTAATGGAACTCGAAAACATATTTTCTAGCAATACGAGGCACCGCCTCAGAACGCTGAAGTTATCAGCAAATTTTTGTAGCCAATTTCAAGAATAATTAGATAGCTAACCAAGATTCCAGCCGTTGGCCGTCGAGGTCGCCGGACTTAATGCCTATGGATCTAATTCTGTGGACATCTTTGCGGAAGAATAAATTCATTCTTATTTTTAAATTGCCCGTATAATCTAGACAAGAATTAGAAATACTTAGCAGTTATGAGGGGGTATCATCCCCACTGAGTTAATGAATTCCGCGAGAAATGTCCAAAAACGGCCCTGTCTGTCCATAACAGAAGACGGTCGATATCTCGAACACCTCTAGCAAAATCTCATGTCTTGGTTTGCTATTTATTTTTATTGTTATTAGATATAGTTTAACCGTGTTGATGTTGGTTAAATATAGTTTAAATTGTTATAAAATTCTGCATCTCCATTGCAAATATTATTTTCGTTTTAATTGATGCTCACAGCTAGAATTTTTTTGCATTACAGCCGGCGCCCTTCAAAGCCTACTTATTTAAAGTGCGCGAATTTTTATAAACTCTATGTCTCGAAGAGGAATCGAGCAAAATATCAAGTGTGCTATATTTTTGGAAAGGTAATTTTAAATTCTTTTCAATAAATTAAAAATATACAGGGTGTCCCTAATAAAAAATCAATTTTTCTCTTGATAACTCTTAAATTATTAATTAAAAAAAAATATACTTAAACCATTAAATTCTACGTAAAAAGGTGCTTTGGAAATGTTTTTATAAAAATACAAAATTTTCTATAGCAAAAAAGTTACAACGATTTGTTAAAAATGCACATTTTTGAAACACACCCCGTAACTCCGAAACGGTAACAGTTATCGATATGCGGTTTTCACCATCATGTTTTTAATAAAAATTGAGCTCCAGACGCCGATATTAGTTTTCGTCTATCTCCTAGATAAAACGGTGTTTCCCTTTAAAAGCGTCTAATTTTACCCACCCTGTACAGGGTGGGCCAAGTTGGACGCTTTTAAAGGGAAACACCCTTTTCTATAGGAGATAGACGAAAACTAATAGGTGAAGAAAACTAGATAGGTGAAAACCGCATATCGATAACTGTTCCCGTTTCGGAGTTACGGAGTGTTTTTCAAAAATGTGCATTTTTAACAAATCGTTGTAACTTTTTTGCTATGGAAAATTTTGTATTTTTGTAAAAACACTTCCAAAGCACCTTTTTACGTAGAATTTAATGGTTTAAGTATAATTTTTTCAAAGTTCATAATTTAAGAATTATCAACAGAAAATTTGATTCTTTATATGGGACACCCTGTATATTTTTAATTCATTGAAAATAATTTAAAATTACCTTTCCAAAAATATAGCATACTTGATATTTTGCTCGATTCCTCTTCGAGAAAAAGGGTTTTTTAAAAATTCGCCCACTTTGAATAAGTAGGCTTTGAACGGCGCTGGCTGTAATGGAAAAAAAATCTAGCTGTGAGCGGCAATTAAAACGAAAATAACATTTGCATTGAGAGATGCAGAATTTTATAACAATTTAAACTATATTAACCAACATCAACACATTTAAACTATATCTAAAACAATACAAATTAATAGCAAACCAAGACATAAGATTTTGCTACAGGCGTACGACAATTTCGACATGTCAACCGTCTTCTGTTATGGACAGACGGGACCGTTTTTGAATATTTCTCGTGGAATTCATTAACTTAGTGAGGGTAAAAGATACCCTCCATTAACCACTAATGCACTAAGTACTTCTAATTCTTGTTTAGATTATACGAGCAATTTAAAAATAAGAACCTTTATTCTTCCGCGAAGATCCACTAAACCTGGGGATAACAGGCACTAAAGTCCGGCGGCTTCGACGGCCAACGGCTGGGATCTTGGTTAGTTATTCAATTATTCTGGAAATTGGTTGCAAACATTTTCTGATAACTTCAGCGTTCGGAGGCGGTGCGGTGCCTCGACATGCTCGAAAAATATATTTTCGAGTTCCATTAGTTAAAAGTGGCGAACTTATAAAAATTCTGTATTTCTAATGGAACTATAACAAAATATCAAGTGTGCTATATTTTTGGAAAGGTAATTATAAATTAATTTTACTTAATTAAAAATATACAATGTGTCCCAAATAAAAAAACAATTTTTCTGTTGATAACTTAAATTATTAATTTATAAAAATTATAATTAAACTATTAAATTCTACGTAAAAAGGTGCTTTGGAAATGTTTTCACAAAAATAAAAAAATTTCCATAGCAAAAAAGTTACAGCGATTTGTTAAAAGTTCACATTTCCGAAAAACACCCCGTAACACATAAACGGTATCAAATATCGATGTGCGGTTTTCACCATCATGTTTTTGATAAAAATTGAGCTCCAGACACCAATATTAGTTTTCGTCTATCTCCTGTAGACGAATTAACAGAAATTAAAGACGAATTTGACCCACCCTGTACACACTCCTCTCCGAACGCTACACGCGTCGCTCTACGCGTGCATAGGATTTCCGAAACCGGAGCTGTTTTTCGGAACCGGGAATTTCGGTACCGCGCCTAGGAACCGGGATTTCCCGTTTTTTTTTCGGTACTTTCGATACTGACTAATTTTTGTTCAATGATGGTGCAGTTTATCAATCAGAAAGCAAGGGACGGTTTTCAAAGTAAAATGGATAAAAAATTGAGATTTTTAATGAAAATAATATCAAATTATTAAGAAATCAGTCATGAAAAAAATAACATGAACACAGGTAAAGAAAAAAGTATAGGTAAGTTAAATTTCACATTAAACAACGTAAACCAACTTAACTGAATTTGAGACAAAAGACCTAAAATATTGAATAAAAAATGGAAATATCTATTAAAACGTAACATAATAAATATTATAGGAACTTCAAAACAGAAAAGAAGCAAGAACAATAAAAAATAGCATCATTACTTACATTTAGAAGAGTTTGATTTCGACCGCTAGAAAGTATCAAAGGACTTTCTCACGTAACAATTTTTTTTAATTATTGTTACCGAGGCACGGTTCTGTGATGGCCAAAAAGATCTGAACCCTAATTGGAGTTTCCAGAACTGTACTAAAATATTTTCGTTCAACGATTGTGGAGTTCGTCGATTAGCAAGCAAGGGATAGTTCTCAAAAGTAAAACCGATAAAAAATTGAGCTCCAAATGAAAATAATATCACATTATTAAGTGATGAGAAAGTAAACATGAATACAAATAAGGAACACAAGCGAAAAAAAAAAGAAAACACAAAGGTAACTTAAAAATTACATCAAACAACATCAACCAACCTCGAAACCAAACCAAACCAAACCAAAAACATAACACAAAAAAATATAACTAATACATTCAGCAATATTGTACTAAATAATAAAATAACATATTTAAACTTCAATAATTGCTAATAAGCATTATAGAAACTTCAAAATAACTTCAGAAGTAACAAGATTTCAACCGCTAGAAAGTATCAAAAGTCTTTCACACGTAACAAAAAATATGTTTTATAATTATTATTACTTACCCAGTCCCGAAAGTACCGGAAGAACCGGGAATTAATATTTTCGAGTCCCGGTTCTTTGATGTCTCAAAAAAACCGGGAATTCCCGGTACTTTCGGTTCATGCTGTATGGTTCTATTAGTATTTTTGTTAAAAACTATGAAGCAACTAACATAAATCATCATATTATTAATTAAGATACGGAAGATTCATGTTAATCGGCAATTACTCAAAACAAACCCATTCGCTTCAAGGTACGTACACTATCGAAATAAGTAGGAAGTTCGTACAACAAAAGATAAAAATAAATAAACGCGCTGAGCCTGGAGTGGTATCCATTAACAAGTTTCAAGAACCCTCCAGCTATAAATTTGATTGATGAAGGCAGATGTTCGTGGCAAAAAACGCCCGACAAATTTGATTTTTGTACTACAATCTTTCTCAGTTTTTTGCAAAAATAATATAGGAATATTTCC